TCCTTTCATGAAAATTAACTCAAAAATGGATCTATTACATAAATGTAAAGTGCAAAATTATAAAACTCCTAGAAGATAACATAGGAGAAAACCTAGATGACCTTGGGTATGGCAATGGCTTTTTAGATATAACACCAAAGACATAATCCATGAAAGAAAGAATTGAGAAGCTTGGCTTCATTAAAATTAAAAAACTTCTGCTCCAGAAAAGACAAAGTTATGAGAAAGAGAATATGAGCTATAGACTAGGAGCAAATTTTTGAAAAAGGCACCTAAAAAAGAACTGTTATTCAAAATATACAACGAACTATTAAAACTCAACAAGAAGTAAACGAAGATCTCATTTTTTAAAAAAGCCAAATACCTTAACAGACACCTCACCAAAACGATATATAGATGACAAATAAGCATATGCAAAGATGCTCCACATTATATATCACCAGTGAAATACAAATTAAAACAACAATAAGATACCACCACACATGCCAAAATCCAGAACAATAACACCAAATGCTGGTGAAGATGTGGAGCAATAGGAACTCTCATTCATTGCTGGTGGGCATGCAAATAGTATAGCCACTGGAAAAGAGTTTGGCAATTTCTTATAAAACTAAACAAAACCTTACCATACAATCCAGCAATTGTGCTCCTTGGTATTTATCCAAAGATGCAGAAAACTGTCCACAAAAAAAACCCTGCACATCGATGTTTATAGCAGGTTTATTCATAAATGCTAAAATGTGAAAGTAATCAACACATCCTTCAGTAGGTATATGAATAAAGAAACGTACATCCAGACAATGTAGTATTATTCAGCTCTAAAACGAAATTATCTTATCAAGCTATGAAAATACACAGAGGAATCTTAAATCCACGTTACTAAATGAAAGAAGCCAATCTGAAAAGGGTATATACTATATGATTCTAACTATATGACATTCTGGAATAGGCAAAACTATGGAGACAATAAAAAGATAAGTGGTTGACAGAGTTAGAGAGGGGGATGGGGTGACTAGGCAGAGGACTGAGGATTTTAGGGGGCAGTAAAATTAAACAATGTGATTCCATAATGATGGATATATGTCATTGTACATTTGTCCAAACTTACAGAATGTTCAATACCAAGAGTTTACTGTAAACTATAGATTTTGGGTGATTATGGTATGTCAGTGTAAGTTCATCAATTTAAAAAAAATGTACCACTCTGATAGGGAATGTTTATAATGGGGGAGGCTATGCATGGGTAGGGGCTGGGAGTATAATGGAAATCTCTGTACCTCCTGCTTAATTTTTCTGTGTAACTGAAACTACTCTAAAATAAAATAGTCTTATTTTAAAAAATAAACTAAAAGGTATCAAGAAAATTATAAAAGATATACAAGACCACATAAACTAAAATTAGACTAATTTAGAAATGCAATGATAGGGCTCAGAATAAGATATTTAACACTCATTTTATAAATAAATACTAACCTAGAAGAGGAATAATTATAATGAACAGAACAGAAAATACCTTAAGAGAAATGGAACCTTAAAATAAGAAAGATTTTAAAAATTAAAAAGAAATAAAATCATTAGATAAGGAACTAATATACTATGGTTATACTAAGTACCCATTCAACAATTATTTTAAAAAAAACAATTATTTTAACTATATATCTCCAATCTAAAGACAAAAAAATCCTTTAACACGTTTTAACTTTATTAAATGTTTCTTGTTGATAGTAGTTTATGTATAGTAATCCTGAAACTATTTTGTGTTTATTAGGATTCAGCTAATGAGTAACATTACTGATAATGTTAGCAACCAGAATTCACATGATGGAAGAAGGGAAGTGTAATGTGGAAAGAAGAAGTCAGTGAAGAACCTTCTGTGTTGGATTAGCATTAGAAATATGAATTTATGATTTAAAAAATCCATTTTCTATTCTGTCTGCTGAAATAGCCTAAGAACCATGACACTCCAGTAGCAATGAACACATTTAGTGCCCAGACCTTAGTTCCTAAATACCATTCCCTACCAAAAATACTAGGGCTCTTTGGAAAATAGCTGTTCCCAGGTCTTCAGAGATAAAAGTAAAAAGAGCACAGAATTTGGGCTATGTTAAACAAAAGAACGTAACACTTGTAGATTTAACATACACCGTTTCATCTCTTTATAACTGACCACAAATATCCAACACACCATAGCTGTCTGCCATTGGATACATATCCCAACCTCTCAACCAAGTTTAAATTCTTAATTCTTCATCCATAAGACAGAAAATACAGGACAAACTCAAAAGCTCTGCTGTATTAAATGATATAAAGTGGATTAAAATACCTAACATGGTATTTACACACCAATTTGCATACACCACACATTCAATAAATGTTTGTTTCCATTCTTTTCCCTTTTTTCACATCCCACTGACCCAACTAATAATCCTCCTTGTGACCTCAATGTAGTTACCCTTACTTAGGTTTAGGAGGCTGCCAATCTGATCCCAATATTTCATTCTAAGAATAAAAGTATGCCTCCCTTGTACCATATCATTTATATTAGAATAATACCACTTCAAAAGATACAGCATCATGTATACATATATTTCCATATACATATAACTGATTCATTTTGTTATATAGCAGAAGCTAACACAACATTTTTAAGCAATTATACTCCAATAAAGATGTTAAAAAAAGATAACAGCATTAATCATAATAATTTTCTAAATTTAGACAGTACTTCAAGGCTGTATATAAAATTTCAAACAGTTTAAGTCAACAAATTTCAAGCAGAGTACAAAATATTTGCGCCTAGGGAGACATTTTTCATTGCTAGAAATAGACATATGAGAGGACTAATAACTTGGACCTTTAGGTTGGAGGAATCCACAGGCACCTCTTAGGGCAGCTTTGCATGTTTCTTAGTTGTTTCTGTTTTTGCTTTTCCACAAATGAATCCAGAAATATTTTTTCTGATTCTAGCTTCCACAGTCTCTCTATTTATTAATATATTCATTAATTCAGCAAATATTTTTTGAGCATCTAACATGTGTCAAGCACTCTGTTATATACTATAGATACAGAGTATGCAGTACATTTGGAGATATAGATAATTATGCAGACAACTTCATTCAGTATTGTAAGTGTTGATAATGAAAGTATGTGATAAACATTGCAGGGGCAAATATCACAATAGTTTTCCCTAAACAAATTGAGAGCAACTGGAGGATTTTTATGTTGGTGAATAAGATTAGGTTTATAATTTTGAAAGATTGCTCTGTGCATGCTGTGGTAAATGTAATTGGAAAGGAGCAAGAAATCCAAGGAAAGAGTAAGTTTCCCACAAAATCATATAATGCAGAGAGCATAAGGTAGAAGAACAACAATAATAATATTTTTAAAATAGCAGCTAATAAGAATGTAATATCCACATTTGCCAGATGCTATGTGCTTTATATTCATGATCTCAATTCTCATAAGCAAGTAGCGAACTAAGTACTGCTATTAGTCCCTGCTCTCTACCATTTAACTTATGAGGAAATTCAGGCCCAGAGTAGTTAAGTAATGTGCCTAATGGAACAGCATTTTAAAGAGAAAAAGAATTCAAGTCAGTCTGTATCGAACCACTGTGACATATTATTACTACTGACATTTCTCCCCATAAAGCTCATTCAAATTCTTTTCATGCATGCTGAATTTTCAGATATTGTTTCCGTGTACAAGGTTTTTATCTCGTGTTACAGGAATATCAAAGGAAATTTGATTCTAAGAGAGAAAAACTCAGTCCCAGGAGCATAAACTAAAGACAAATCCCTTTAATTAGATGTTTATTTCACAGAAAATGCATACTTAATTTAAATGGAACATATGAGATAGAAATAATATTTTAAATAAATATGTAGCTGTTAGCAATTGCCTGATTCTTTTCACATCTTCTATTCCAAATCACTTTACTTTTCCCCCACTGATGAACCCACTCTCTCTCACACTTCGACCTTGGTTTGAAAAGTACATGGACCCTCATCCTCAGAAGTTGCAGGCACTATATTATGTTCAGTTTTTTCTCTCATACTGTCTCTCTTAATCAGAGCTATTGCCATCTATGATTTAGCACATGCAGGCTAACACATAAGAACATCCCCTCTGTCTTACTACAGAATGTTGAATTGAAATGAAATGTCCTAATTTCAGTGAAATGTCCTAATCTTTCTTTCTCAGGAAATATGTATTTGCCAGCTCCAGATCTATTTAATCCCACCTATATTTCAGGGACATGTTCTATTTCTATCTTATGAATTCTCCCATTTAGCATCTGAGAATAAACTATAAGAGAATGTTCATATCTTTTTTTCATATGTTTGATGTTTGTCATGACTAAAATAAATTGATGACAGAGTATCCTATCTTATCTCCCCAAGTACAATGTTGAGAGATTCTTATAGGAAAAGTTTTCCTCTGTTTGTAAAATGTCAGCTACTCGAAAGGGATGTAAGGAACAAAGAGAGAGGAAAAGGCATTAATCAAAGGGTAATGTAGACTGATGTGGTACCAGATGTTTTGGTAAAACTATCTTCATATTCAAACAAAATGCAAAATCCTCATATATATACATACATATATATATATATATATATATATATGGTTTATATTTCTCTCATGTTATATTGTACATGGCTTATATTTCTATTATATCCCATTATATGAGAGAAATGTAATATATATTTTTGACTGTTTTTAAGTTTAATTTAAAATAACTGTCAGAATTACTCAGACAATGATTAATAAAAACTTTAATGATTAGTTATTTATATGGTCAATTTAAAAGAAAAAATAAGAGAATCAAATTTTGATTATGCTCAATATTATATTACTATAGAATCTGTGGTGTGTTCCTAAAAATTAGTTTAAATAGACTATAAAGTACCATTTTGATAGGGAATACAAAAAAGCATATATTAGAGAAATGTCTTTTTATCATCTTTTAATATTAAAATAGTGAAGAAAATAAAACATACCTCACTTCTTTCCTAACTAAGAAACCACGTATCCATCTTTGAACAATCAAAACTGGCGAGTTATGAGCCAGAATTTCATTAATTTTTGAAATAATAAATTTGATATTATCAATTTCATCCTCATAGGTTGATCCCTGTATAAAGAAAATATATTTAATATTTATAGCTCATGAAAGTATTTACAAAAGATATTTTAACTTGGTAGTCTGATGGTATAAACTATTAAAACATTCAGGCTATCTTATTATACACATAACAGTTAAATAATAAATATATTTTCATATCTATTTTTATTAGATCAGAAGACCAAGAATTAGTAGCACCAAATAATTTTAATTCTCTACAAAATAAATGCAAGATCAGTGAGGATAACTTTCTCCATTCTAGATTCTTCTCACAATCTGCTATCATAGTTATAAAATTTTACCCATAATCACGTTGATCTCTGAAAGATAGCGGCATGAATAGACATCCAATGAAACTCTAAAAGTATTCTGTGGATCATCACAGAGGAAACTGATACATGATGGATTTATAAAACAACTTACAGTAGTTCAAAACTTTGTGGCATCTTAACTAGAATGTTGCACACTTTTACTGGAAGACAGCACATTCCCCTGGGGAAAGATATTCTATATTGCCTTTAAAGAAATTATCTCTAAGATTATTGTTCCTGCAAATTTTTTTATTTGGGATCATAGACTCCTTATATCCTACTGATCATTTGACTGGCTAGAAAAAGCCACTCTAGTTATGTCTTGAATGTAAGAATTACGCATTAAAAACCTAATACATTTCTTGGTAAGGTAACAACTCTGAAAATTATCAACCCCATCATGTCTAAAAAAAAATACCTTTACTACATATACACTTAATCAGCTGCTAAAAGAAAACAAAAAATCACAAAGCCTTGTAGATTAGTATTACTTCAGATTTATACTTACAAACATTCATTGCTAATTAGCAAATCCTTTACTTGGCCCTGGCTTGCTTCTGTTTCCAACAGGAGCTACTGTAAACCTTCAGTACTATTCTCTATAAAGCCTTTTCCCTAGTGCTAACTAAACATCTTGCTACCTTCTCACAGAGAATATAGGACTATCAAGTCTGAACTTTATCAACTAACACTCCTCCCTTCCCTACAAATTTAACTATAGTCCCACTTAACTCTTATATATCTATACTGAATAGAAGCAACTTCTACTTAATCTTAAATCAAGAAGTATCTCACTTCCTGTCCAAGATTGGCTCTCCATCATGGTTAAGTTTAATCTCCCTGTTTTCAATTACTTCCCTGCTACTGTCCCCATGCCTCACCTATAAATATGATGTAGTCTCACCCATCTGTAAAATGCACACACACAAATAATCATACACATTCCAACCCTCCATCCTTTGTATCTAACTTTTATTAAGAGTCCTTGAAACAGAATTCCATATTTGCTGTCCCACCTTCTCTCTTCCTGTATCTCAGTCCACTGACTTCTATCCCTATCATCCTATCTAATACTTTTACAAAATTATCATTGGACATTTCTCATTGAAGCACTTCCCTTGGCTTCTATACACCACACTCTTGGTTTTCTATATATAACTAATGTTTACTTCTGGACTTTTTAAAGACCTATCCGCACCCTACTTAATGTCACACTGAAAAGATTTTCTCCATTTGTCTTTTTTCAATCTGAACACACTGTCCAGATGACTGCAACCAAATCCACAGCTCCAACACTCACCTATGTCCTGATGTCTCAGATTTCTCACTTTAAGCAGGAACTCTCTCTAGAGCTACAGAACAATATGGTCATACTGATTATCCAATTATAGGCTTACCTTGGAGATACTGCAGATTGAGTTCCAGACCACCACAAAAAAGGGAATATTGAAATACAGCAAGTCACATGAATTTTTTGGTTTCCCAGTACATATAAAAATTATGTTTGGGCTTCCCTGGTGGCGCAGTGCTTGAGAGTCCGCCTGCCGATGCAGGGGACGCGGGTTCGTGCCCCGTTTCGGGAGGATCCCACATGCCGCGGAGCGGCTGGGCCCATGAGCCATGGCCGCTGAGCCTGCGCGTCCGGAGCCTGTGCTCCGCAAATGGGAGAGGCCACAACAGTGAGAGGCCCGCATAACGCAAGAAAAAAAAAAAAAAAAAAAATTATGTTTACACTATAATGTAGTCTATTAAGTGTGTAATAGCATTGTCTAAAAAAACAATGTACATGCCCTAATTTTAAAAATATTTTATTGCTAATAAAGCTAACCATCATCAGAGCCTTCAGGGAGTTGTAATCTTTCTATGGTAGAAACATCAAAAATCACTAATCACAGGTCCTCATAACAAATATAATAATAATGAAAACATTTGAAATATTGTGAGAATTACCAAAATGTAACACAGAGACATGAAGTGAGTAAATGCTGTCAAAAAAAATGGCACCTATAAACTTGCTCCATGCAGGGTTGCCACAAACCTTTAATTTGTGATAAATGCATTATGTGTGAAGTACAGTAAAGTGAAGTGCAATAAAACAAGATATTCCTATAAACTCAACTTGCCCGAACATGAATCTTCTTCCCTGACCTGCTTTCTCACATGCTCTTAGTGGATGGTGCTATTGCCCATATGAACCTAACCCAGAAACCCTAGAACCACCCCAGGCTATCTTTCTCTTTCACTTCTTCATATCCAAATATTGCTAGATCCAATATATTCAACATCCTAAGCATCTGATCTCTACATTTTCTTCTGTTCTCTACCATTACTTTATTGCATGTCTTTATCACTTCTCTAACTTACTAAAAATGTCCTGATATCTGAAATAATCCCTACTCCCTACTCCCTTCAAATCATAATATGCACTATTGCTAGAATGAACTTTTCAAAATGCAATGATATGATATGATGATATGGCATTTTTGCTGGTATATGATTGAAAGATCAATTACAAATTTCTTGACTTGGCACACAAAATCTTTGATCTAGTGCCTTCTTACCTTCTCAATCTCATCCTCCTTCACCCTATATATAATACCTTCCATTCTGGCAATATTCAACCACTTGCATTCCTGAAAACTACCTGATAATCAAACCTCAATGATTTTTGCATGCCATTCCAGTTTCTTGACTGCCCTTCTCAATTACTTGTCTTACTATCTTAGTCTTGTGGAGACTCAGTTCTTTCCTCCAAGAAGCCTTTCTTGACATTGATCTGAGTTTAATATCCTTATAAAATATTATCCTGTGTTAATAACTTATTTGTCACACTTGGCAATGTTGAATTTTATCTGAGATTGCAGATAAGGAGATAAGGAATCTCCTTATCCCTTTATTTCAGGAAATGGTTTTATACAAAGAACTCTTCCACCATATTACTTAGATTGTACCCATGAACATCCATCTTGTTCGTCTTTGACAAGGCCCTGACACAGACTTTCTAAATTCACATTCTTTGCCTATTAATGATTAGTTTAACTGCTTTGTCTATACTGAGCAGTCGGAATAAAACGCTTGTTAACCAAACTTTGGTTAAGATTCTCTCTCCTTCCCCTAGTCCCTTGAACTTTGCCCCACCCTCAGCCTGTTACCCTAAACACAAACATACACACACACACAAACACACACATGCACACACACACACACCATGAGACCAAATGTGATGGAAAAAAAACCCATAAAATTACAGGAAATCACATCTATACCAGAAACCAGTAAAGGATAACATTTAAATAAAAGATTATATCATAGGGGCTTCTCTGGTGGTGCAGTGGTTGAGAGTCCACCTGCTGATTCAGGGGACACGGGTTCGTGCCCCAGTCCGGGAAGATCCCACATGCCACGGAGCGGCTGGGCCCATAAGCCATGGCCGCTGAGCCTGCGTGTCCGGAGCCTGTGCTCCGCAGCGGGAGAGGCCACAACAGTGAGAGGCCCACGTACCAAAAAAAATAATAATAATTTACTCTCTCATAGGAGGCCTACACCCTCCCTCCCTTTCCTTATTTAGATGGTATATAAGCATGAATTCTCACCTCGGGGAGTTACTAATTTTTCCCTGGGTATCTTCTCAGTATACGTGAGGTATAAATGTTAGTAAACTTCTGTTTGTTTTTCTCTTGTAATCTGTCTTATATTACAGGGGTCTCAGCCAAGAACTCAGAAGGGTAGACAGAAAATTATTTTTGCTCCCCTACAGTAGTTTGGGAGCAGGGAGGTTGATTGCATAAGTAAGAAGGGAGGGAGAAGAATACAGGAGGGAATTTAGATGACTAGGTTTAAGTGGTCCTGGTCAGATGCTGCAGTTCTCATCAGCAGAGAACCATTAAGCTCACACTGCAGTTTACAGCAGAGCCCTGCTTCCCACCAACGTGTGAATAACTCATCTCTTTAAAGAGATAAACGAATAATCATCAGCTGTGGGTGGAGTTAGTGTCCCTGCCAGAAAACAAGTAACCTCAAGACAATACTCAAGTTTTATGATGTCCTAAAACAATTATCCAGTAAAATGCCAATAAAGATATCACTGCAAACTTGAACAAATGGCATAACCATTTGATATCTGAGGACAAATGGATGTATCTACTTTCTAAGGGAAAGTGATGCATTTCCTCCACTATGTGAGTGATGACTCTGGAGAAAAACTGCCTGGGTTTAAATTCCAGTTCTACCACTTGCTAGCTATGTGATCTAGGGTAAGTACCCCATCTGTCCCCGATTCATCATCTGTAAAACAGAGATAACCTCACTGGGCTTTTGGGAGAGAATATTTGTAAAGCACTTAGAACAGTGCTAAAACATTCCAAGCATCCAAACAATGTTATCTGTCAACAGTTTAAGGACTTCTGTATACCTTATTTGATACTTAAAAAATTAGTAGAAGAATTTACTAAGCAATTTATCCAAACTAACATAATGTAAAATTTAAAAATTAATAAATTAACTATAAAAGATGATTAGTACTAATATTTTCAATCCAATAAAAGGAATTAAAGAATTGTAGTAAAAGCTTAACAAAGGACAACGCATGCTTAGGCAAAATACTATCAAGAATCAACAAAACAGATGATAGAATAATGAAATATTTATACTCTACCACTTGCTATTGTAACCCTGGGATGAAAATAGGGCTACTGTTAA